TTTAAAAAATAATAATAATAAAATAAGGCCAGGCGCGGTGGGTCACACCTGTAATCCCAGCACTTTGGGAGGCCAAGGCGGGCAAATAATGAGGTCAGGAGTTCAAGACCAGCCTGGCCAACATGGTGAAACCTATCTCCACAAAAACATACAAAACTTAGCGGGGTGTGGTGGTGCATGCCTATAATCCAAGCTACTTGGGAGACTGAGGCAGGAGAATCACTTGAACCCGAGAGATGAAGGTTGCAGTGAGTGAGATTGTACCACTGCACTCTAGCCTGGCTGACAGAGTGAGACTCTGTCTCAAAAAAAAAAGAAAAGAAAAGAAATAAAAGAAAAGAGAAGAGAAGAGAAGAGAAGAAGAAGAAGAGGAAGAGGAGGAGGAGGAAAAAAAAGATTTGAGCCATGCAGGAAGATAGCAGATAGCAGGGAAATACACAGCATATTATACCTGTGGCTCTGGGCTTTGCCTGAGGTCAACAGGTAGATCCGCGGCAGGGCTAGGTGATCTGATCAACAGGCCCTGGGCACCCATAGTGGTGAGCCCCAACTCTCCTTGGAAGCCCCCCAGTAGCCAACTCCCTCAGGCTCTGTGAGTTCCTCCCCCAGCCTCAGCAGGAAACAGACACTTGCAAATGTTCTTTTTTCTCATTAAAGAAAAATAATGTAATATACAATATCACTCTACTTGGTCCAAAACCTGCTTATTAAAAATCTACTTTTGGGAAGCAAGAGAGTAAGTGGCATGATTCTCCATGGAATTATCTCCGTTATGCCTAATTTTGATGGCTGGAAAATAGAATTAGATTCTGCTCCTAATTCTACTCACAGCATCTCTTGGCCCTGCATTAATAAGGAAGATGGAAGAGTGTCTCCTTCGGAGCTCTGAGCTGCATTTCCCTTTGGTTCCTCATTTTCTCATCCCTTGATTAGATTTTTAATCCTCTTTGCCCTTGAACTTCTGCTCTGCTCCACCTTTCCCTCCTCTGGCCCTGGAGGGTGGGGACTGGAGTCCCTCGGCAGCCTCAGTGAGTTTGTTCCAGCAAATCTGTTTCGTGCCTGCCATGTCTGCTGGGATGTGGGCTGGCCCCTACTGTATCTGGACAGGTACATCTGCTCCAGAACCTTGTCTATGCTTAGCTGTCCTGCACCCCTGCTCAAGGGAACAAGGGCGTGTGTTGTTCAGAGAGATCTCTGCCCTTCCCTGAACACTGCACCTGCCACCCTCGAACCACTGCTCTGTTTGTGCAGACCATGATGGTGGAAGGGGGTCATGGAGAGGGAAAAGCCAGCTTGAGGATCAGAGGACTAAGAAAAAGTCTTAGCTTTGCCATGTACCAGCTGTGTGACCTGGCGTCCCTTAATACCTCCAAGACTCTGTTTTCTCAGCTCTGGAATGACTGGGGAGGAGGGAGGTAAAATGGAGAGATGTTAAGTGAAAGTGCTTTGCCATCTGCACGAAACTGTGTGAATGTCAAGGAATGTCATAATTCTAATGGGAAGAGCCCTGGGCTGGGAGGCAACAGAATTAGCATAGTGCTTAGTGTGTAGTAGATGCTTAGCAAACATCTGAGCAACCTGTTTCCCAAAGCCCAGTAAGAGTTGAAGCAGACGAAAAAAGCTTCAGCTTAAAAGCAAGCCAGATTGTGACTAGATACAAAAAGAACTTCCTGTCAGGTTGGTGAGATATTGTACCAGCATTGAGGAAGACTGCAGGACAATCTTTGCCTGGAGACATTTGCGGGTGCCCTCGGTCTCTTAATAACCCCGCTGTGTACACAGAGTACACCAGTTCAGTCCTGCCAAAATGGTCTCGTGGCAGTCAGTTCTAGGGGAGAACCCCTGAGCCTGTTACACCATTCGAAGGTCCAAGGGCGCCACAGGAGGAGAACCACCGAGTGGAATGCAGAGCTTCCTACTGTGTTGCTTGAAGTGGGAACATCCTTCAGGTTGAAAGATCAGCATTCTTTTTCCGCTCATGGTCAAACTTATTTCAAAGAAAATGAAGCAAATACCTGTTTTGGCCACAAGACATCTGAGCGTGTCCATGCTAATGTGTATCGTCAACTTCCTCCACTAGGAGGAAATAGAATGAAGGGTTATCCAAACATTATTTTTCTGATAAAACTCCTGGTCCACAAAACACTTATCATCAAAGCAGAGCTGTCCTGTAGAACTTTCTGCGGTGATGGGAATGTTCCACACTTGTGCTGTCCAACACAGCAGCCACCAGCCACGCAGCTACTGACCACTTGAAATGTAACGAGACAGACTGAGGAACTGGATTTCTAATTTTATTTTATTTTAATGAGTTCATATGTACACTTAAATAGCCATATGTGGCTTGCAGCTGCTGCACTGGTCAACATAGATCCAGAGGAAACCCATTTGACAAATACAGGTGTAATGACGATGGTGCACTAGACTGTGATCCAGAGACTCTGGATTCAAATCAAAGCTATACCACTTACTAATTATGAGACTCTAGTCAAACCAAGCTACCTTCTGGGCCTCCCTTTCTTCTTCTCTAGCTGAGGGGGTTAGAATCTATGTTCACTGATCTCTTGCCAAACCCCCTTCATGGAAGCCCTGCTGGAGAACTCCAGTGTACCTCAATTACCATTTTACTGTCTTTCTTTCTTTCTTTGTTTTTTTTTGTTTGTTTGTTTTTTTGTTTTTTGTTTTTCTTTGAGACAGGGTTTCACTCCTGTTGCCCAGGGTGGATTGCAGTGGCATGATTTCGGCTCACTGCAACCTCCGCCTCCAGGGTTCAAGTGATTCTCATGTCTCAGCCTCCTGAGTAGCTGGGATTACAGGCGCATACCATCACACTCATCTAGTTTTTGTATTTTCAGTAGAGATAGGGTTTCACCATATTGGTCAGACTGGTCTTGAACTCCTGACGTCAAGTGATCTTTCCACCTTGGCCTCCCAAAGTGCTGGGATTACAGGTGTGAGCCACTGCGCCCATTTAACTGTGTTAATTGCTTCTTGAACATTGACCCTGCTTAGTTTTCCATCAAGTCTGCTTCATTTTTGAGGAGAGAGACTGCGTGTTGCTCTTTCATGTCGTACATAGAGCGTAAGGGTGCCCAGCACCCAGGAGATGCTCGAAGATGCCTGCTGACTGCCTGAGTGATGGACTGGAGCACTCTTGAATGCACCCAACTTGCTGGTGCCACTCAGGGCCTGCCTGTTGAACAAGGCTTTGGGTTCAACTTTCTTTCTCCAAGTCTGAGGGTCCCCAGCCCCTTGGGTCTAATTCCAGCTCCCAACTCCTTTGCCCTTTTCATGGACCCAAAACCAGTTGTTCCACAAGGGCACACCCATGATGAGAACGGCCTCTCCGCAGAAGACGCTCCTCGGAGAGTGACCTTCAAGGGCTTGCAGATGACACAGGACCAAGTCTGCGTTCCTCGCCTGCTACAAGGATCTCTGCTCCCTTCTCCAGCCTCTCTTTCCATCTTTATCCAGCATGGACTCTAGGCTCCAACCTACGCCCCCTAGGCACAGCATCAGGATTCCTGCCTCCCTCTCTTGCTCCTCATCTGGCATGCCCTATCTCCTTTCCCTCCTTTTCTAAATCTTTTTTATCCTTTGAGATCCAGTTGAAGCCCTGCCCACATCCCAAAGCCTATCTAGCACCCTGTACTCAGGGACCTTCTCCTTCTCGACTGGCCATATTGCACATCTGACACTTAGCATAAACCACTCTGGGCCTTCTCAGATCAGTGGCAAGGGCCCTATTTTCTCTGCATCCACCACAGGGCTCTGGAAAGAGCTTTTGACTTGAAGTGAGGAGGCCTTTATTTGAGTTTGGGCCCTGATGCTTAAGTTGTGTGGCCTTGGGCAAGTCATTTCACCTCCTAGAGTCTCAACTTCCTCAACTTTGAAATGGGGAAATCCAACACCTCCAATCCCCTGAGTGGTCACAGCAGAGTTGGAAATCCATTCCTTGATTTCTTGGGTAGCACAGAGTAAATATTCAATAAATCTGTATTAGATAAATGAATTAAAGCAAATGCCAGGCACAGAGATCTGGGAAAGTAGGTGGGTCTGACTCTTAACAGAGTGCTGGCTTTTGTATTTGGAGACTGTGGGGATTCCAGGATGCAGGAAGGACTCGAGAAGGCAGAGCTGTTCTGAGAAGCCATAGAAAGGAGCCCTAATAAAGATGGAATCACTCTGCAGTGTAACCCATAAAGACCCCCAGGGTAAGCCCTGGACAGGTGAGCTGCACAGGACACAGATGCCTGGGGCTCAGGCACTGGGTTCCAGCAGTAGCCAGTGGCCAGCACCTGTTTGACCACATGTGGGTGCACAGCTGCCGCTGGGAGCACACAGATGCACAGATTTGCTGGAAGGTGCTGGCTTAAATTAGCTAAATCTCATAAACACTAAATTTATGTCACAAATTGTCTGAGAGTCATAGAAAACACATTTCCAAAACCTGCATTTGCTAAAAAATGCTTTATCAGGAATTGACCTTGGACCTTGTTCCATCAGCAAAACCTGCTCTCCAGGGGAAGAAGCTCTTCAGCCCATCAAGTACAAATGCATCCAATTTTATATGTTCCCTCTCTCTCTTTTTGTATCTCCTTAACAATGAAGCTGAGAATGTGGGAATTGAGTTTGCAGATGCAAAAAGGCTTGGCAGTTGGCCAGTCTCCTTGTAACCTAGTTCCCCTCTGTTCCACTCATGCCCAGGGAGTCCTGGCAAATAGTACTCCTGGATGGACTCCCTCCCCATCTCTCCTCTCTCTCTCTCTCTCTCTCTTTCTCTCTCTCTCACTCACTCTTTTTCTCTTTTTCTCTTACACACACACACACAGACACACACACACACAAGGATAGGAACGTCCAAACCCACTGGTTAACAGCCCTTTGGATCTGAAGGAAACCTCCCGTTCCTGGAGGGTCTCCAGCCAGGGGCACAGGGAATCAGGCCAAAATCAACAAGACTGGACTGTCTGGGGCGGAGCCAGCCTGGGGAAACTTACATTCTGCTTTGGCACAGATGAGGCAGGCGGTGGTACAGTTGAAGAAGTTCAGGATCCCGGCTACAGCCACGCTGATGTCGGTGTTGCTGGGGTGGAGGTTCAGGGTTGTGAATCTCTGGAACTGGAACTTGACGAACTCCTCTGGGGCCACTTTGAAGTGAGGGACCTGGCGAGAGGAGCAAAAATGGACAGCAGGGAGGATCCAGGTGGGTGAAAAGAAAGAAAGAGGGATGAGTGAGCTGAGGCTGCAGAGGGTGGGTTCTTTTATGTAACACCTTCAGCAGACACCAACGGGAGAAGGAGCTCCCAGGGAACCCACTCCGTGGGAGGAAGACGAGAGATGACATCCCTGATGATGCTTCAAAGCAGCAGCCCCGGGACAGAAAACTATTTGTCCAGAGACCCGGATGAATGTACCGTGGGTCTGCAACCTGGGGTCTGTGGTCCTGAGAAGGCAAAAGAATCGATCTTTATTCTCAGAGGAACTGCCTGCCGCTGGGCAGACAGACAGTTGGCTCTTGAAAGCATAATCCTTAGAATATTTTATTTGTAGTTAATACATCAGAGCAGAGATGGCAAAAAGAGAAAAATGGCTACCCTGGGACTAAGAGAAGAGTCCCATTAGCCCAGCCCAGCCAACAGGTGTAGAGTAACCAGCTCCCAACAAACTTCAGTGGAGAATGCCCAGGGAGAGGAAGTAGGGCAGGGATGGGCTCCTGCACAGACTCACACGGGCGCACGTGGAGGAAGGAAGCCCTGCAGGCTGAGAAACCATCTAGAGAACCTCTGAACACAGCCAGGTAAATAAATACCTGGTTTGGCTTCATTAGGACAGTGTCAGCTTCCCTCTGCATCTATTACTGACATTTCCAGGACCCACCGTCCTGCCTTCTGCCTCTCTTCTCCCAGGAAAAGATCTTAAGAGGTTGTGATGGCTGCTTTATTGGCGGCTTAGGCTATTTGGTAGGTAATAGGAAAGTTACAATGTAATCATCTGCCATCCACCTTGATTTTATTCTTTCACCCTCACCCCTGGTGTTCAGAGCTGACAGAGCTGAAGCTGAGTCTCAGTGTGTATAGATGTTAAAGCAAGGAAGAGCGATAGTAGACAGCAGGAAGAACTTCCTGGTGGTGAGTAGACTGGCTTCCAGAATGGATTATTCAGAAATGACGGACGAATTGTCTCTGCCTACTCCAGCCCAGAACTTATCCTGCCAAGAGTCTGGGAAGATGTTGGGATGGTCTCTGTAGGATTCTCCTACTTTATCCTTTTAAATTTCTGGGAGAAGTCAGCTGGAGACCAGAGCTCCTCTGAGACTGAGGTGGGAGGAGGATAAAGATTTAGCAGAAACTAGGGAGAAAATTTCTGAATTCAACTAGGATTAGCCTTTGAACCATAGGGAGAGGGCAACCAATATTTTCCAGCAGAAACTGAAAACCGCAGACTTGGGGAGAGTCTGGTGAGTTATGAAAGGCAATTCTAAAGAGTGAAATTGATCTGTGTTGTAAGGGATCTTTCCTCCTGCTTGTATTTTGTATCCCATCCACTCTGTCTAAAGTGAATAACAAACAGACCTTGAAAGGAAAAGGTCACAAATGGGCAAGATAGAGGGGAAGGCCGGGCAGGGGCAGGCAGGGTAGCCTGGCTGGCTGGTTTGAATGTTTGAGCACCTCTGACCAAGGTTGTCCCTGCGTAACCCTCTAGCCTACCACATTCCATTAGCAGCTAACCCAATAGAGCACAACCCATTAGCACCCCCTAGTACTGTGGAGCCCTCCAGAGTTGAATCCACCAGATCCTAGAGATGGATGGGAAAGACTCAGGAAGGTCAAAACAAACAGGTTTTGGAGTCTACAGACTTGGGTTTGCATCCAGGTTCCACTATGTGATTTTCAGGCAAACCACTTAACTTGTCTAAATGTCATTAAAATGGAGATAACCACAGGTGCTTCTTAGAGCTCTGGGAGGATAAAATGTGCACCTGTGTGTAGGGTGTATAATAGCTCAATATCTAACGAATAATAAGTGCTTGGGCAAGGCCCTTTCTCCTTCCTCCCCAAACACAGGAGCTCCCACAAAGCTCTTGGAGTTGTGCGCACAGGGGGTGAGGGCTGAGGAAGGGGACCTGATGGGGAGCGCCCAGCACAGTCTCCTTGAAGCCCTCTGGGCTCTACTGGGTCCAGGCAGGGATGGCCCAGCCCAATCCTGGTCCTGTGGTTCCCTCCCTAGGACAAAGATCAATCTATACTCAATGTGCAACTGCAAATGTATCCCAGGAAGCCATCACGGAGGTGTGTGTGGGACAAGAAGAGGTGAGCAGAATGGAGAGAGAAGCAGCAAGGCAGAAGGCAGCCAGCCACAAGGGCTGCAGAGATGTCAGCAGCACTTAAAGGAATGGACTCCTGGGTGAGAACTCCATTGCTTTTCCCTGGAGCTGGGGAGAATCCGCGTAAGGCAGTTCAGTCTCATAAAACATTAAAATAAATGCATAATCTGAGCAGAGAGGAAAGGTTGCTCTAGAAGAAACATAACCAGACAAAGGCGGGTAAGCGTCTGGCCGCTCCCAGGGCAGTGCAGTGCAGTCTGGCTGGCTGGTCTGGCACAGGGGCAGAGGAGTTGGCTGCAGATCAGGGGCTTGGCCTCTGGCCTGAAATGCCACACAGGGTTAAAGGATATATTGGCTGAGATCAAATAGCCACTGAACCCCAAGAGAAGGCCATATTGGAGCGGGGCTTGGGGGAGGATTGTGATGCACAGCAAAGACCGTGTCGGGGCGGGAGGAGGGAGAGAGGAGGAAAGAAAAAGAGGATGCAGAAGAGAAAAGATGGGGAGCTGAAGTCTTGGCAGCCCCACTTGGTGAAGATCAGAGCCACCGCTAGAATAACGACCTGCCATAGATTTAAGCTGTTTCTCAGAGTGTGGCAAGAAAGATGTAAATTACACATGAGGTCTAACTTCCTGGGCCAAGGGCTGGGAGAGGCTGGGAGGGACCTGGCAGAACAGAGCTCCTTTGTGGCCTGGGCTGGCCTCAGAGTTGTCTTTGAGGATATGTGAGGGGGAGGAGGATGGGGAGTTGTCAGCCCCAGCCCACGTAAGAAGGTTCAGGAGCACAGTCTACAGAGAGAGGCCCAGCTACTGGAGGAGCAGGACCAATGCAGCCAGGATTAGGATTGCGGCACTTAAATGTGCACACCATTCTGAGAGTGGGCTCATAAAATCAGGAAGATAAATATTCTTCCGCCCAAAGCCTCAGGGACTCACTGAGCCCTGGATCGTAAGAGATAGTGGTGGTATCAGAGGGGTAGGCTCCTCCCAGCAGGTGTGGGGTGGGCAGAGTCCTGTCTGTTGCTCCTGCCCTGGCAGGGGCGGCTCACTGAGGAGGCACCCAGTCCCTCCTGCAGCAAGTGCTTCCCCTATTTCTAAGAACTGGGTCCTCCTGAGACTAGAGCTTCTGGAAGGCTGAGTCTCCAGGCCTCTAGGGCAGAAGCAAGACTGAGCCTTCCTCTCATGTCCCTGCCCCCGACCCCACCCAGGCCCTGACCTCATGCCTGATCACCAAGCTCCATCTGCTCCCTAAGGACCTGGCGGGAAGGCCCCTGGGGCAGACAGGGGCTAAGGGGCCACTTTCTCACTGTCTCCTGAGGATATATCTGAAGGGGAAGGATTGATGGATCCAGGAAAGACCAGGAAAGATGCCAGCACTAGACAGAATCTCTGAATTTTGAGTTTGTCTTCTCTGGGGAGAAAGGAGGGGGAGAGCTAACAGAATAGGGAGGGGGGCAGTCACTCTGAAACTTGTCCCCTACCATTTTTTTCTCCCATGGAAACAGAACTAGAGAAAATGGACTCAACACTTTGAAACTGGAGAGCCTCCAGTTCGAGTCACATCTGAGGAAGAATGTGCTGCCTGAAGAAGCAAACACTGGAATTGGTGAATGAGGAAGAAAGCAAGATAAAATCTCTTTTCTAGATAACTTATATGACAGAGGCTTTCAAACTTTATTTTAGCAATAAAATGTAGCAAAGCCTTCCTTGAAGGCATCCTTCCCCGGAATCCCGATATGTACACAGATGAACAGGAGCTGCTCACGTGGACACGAGAGTGGACGCTCAGATGTCTGCCCGCTTGGCCTGCCATGCCCACCACCCTCTCCAGCCTCTCCCTCTACCCACCACCACCAAGAGGCCGCTGGGGGCACCGCCATGGAACCCTAAGACACGGAGGAGCTCCGCTTCAAATTCCTGCTGTCAAACACCTCCTCCCAGACCCCTCCATGCAAACATCCTGGAGCAGGGCAAGCCCACTGCTTCTGTATTTGTATTTATGTTGTTGTTACTAATGACACCAACCCAGACTTGACAGGCTCTTCCAGCCCTTAAGAATCAACCGTATCTTTGGACCCTGGGCACAGGCTCCAGCGCACGGATATTCCCCAGCCCTGCCTCACCACTCACCTCCTTCTCTCCACAGATGTTGCTGATGATGGAGCTGGAGGCTGGGCTGGACGATGGCCCGAGGACAGCGACCACCCCCTTGGGGAGGATCTGACACACTGCAGCCAGCGGCAGGGACAGGGAAAGAAGCAAGGCACTCATCAGGTCAGGCTTGGGCCACGGCCCAGTCCTCTCCTCTTCACCCGCTGCCCCCTCACCTTCTACCCATCCGCTCCCCAGGCCCCTGCTCCAATGCTTCCAAACCCAGAGTCTCTCCTTCTCCCCTGGACGACTGGGCTCCAGGACAGTTTTATTGGAGTTTATGGACGGCATTAAATGAGGAAATGACCCAGGTTATGACAACATACGGCCACAGCCAACAGGGTGTATAAATTGTCTGGACTGTCACTGAAGGACAGAGGCTAATGGAGCAAACCTGCAGATTCCATCCCGCGGCCCGGCCTGGCCTGCAGGGGGGTAGGGGGAGCCCCAGCACAGCTGCTGCATTAGTCCTCCCAAATATAAAGAGAGTATAGGAGGAGGAAGGCAGGCAGGCAGAGGTACGAAGGAGGGCGAGGATGACACAGACAGGAAGAGAGCAGGTGCAGCTAAAGTCAAAGGGAGCAGAGGCAAGAAAAGAGGAAAGAAGATGGGAGGCAGGGAGAGAGCAAGAGGCAGAAAGGAGTCTCATCTGTCAATGCCCCCACCGTTCACTTCGTCCCACAGCCTGGCACATTCCCTCCTGCAGGCAGAGCAGGTCCCGTCCTGACAGACCAGCATGGCTGGGATCTGGCCTTTCCCTCCTGCACTGAACACTTGCTCACCTGTCCGGGATCAGCTCCGACACCACCTTCTCCTTAGACCTTCCTGGGCTTATTTATTTATGTATTTATTTATTGAGATGGAGTCGCACTCTGTCACCCAGGCTGGAGTGCAGTGGTACAGTCTCGGCTCACTGCAACCTCCGCCTCCCAGGTTCAAGCGATTCTCCTGCCTCAGGAGTAACTGGGATTACAGGCACCCACCACCACGCCTGGCTAATTTTTGTATTTTTAGTAGCGACAGGATTTCACTGTGTTGGCCAGGCTGGTCTTGAACTCCTGACCTCGAGTGATCCACCTGCCTTGGCCTCTCAAAGTGCTGGGATTACAGGCATGAGCCACCGCACCCAGCCACTGGGCTCCTTTAGATGGAATTAACACTGCCTTCGGCTCCCAAGGCCTGGGGTTCATGCCTCTAGTCTAAGACACTGTATCTATTTTGCTTTGTTGTTTAGAACTCTCCTCTCACTAGATTTCAAACCTCTTAAAAACAGGAACTGAGCCACATTTACTCCTAATCCCCACTTCTCACCTCTTCAGTGTCCGGCACAGTATCTTCTAGAAAGTAGGAAGCCCAGCTCAGATTTGCTGAGTGAATGTGTGAAGGAATGGGATGTGTAATCAGAAGAGGGGGAGAGAATCTAAGATTTTAAAATGCTAGAGACTGAGAAAGGGAGGACGGGAGAAAGAGGGAAACGCAGGCAGAGAGGACAGGAGAGAATTCTCAGTGCACACACTAGGGTATCAGAGCCAAGGGGCCGCCCCTCAGAAAATGCAGTTGAGCTTCCCACTGCATCCTTGTCTGCAAAACTCAAGGCTTAACTCCATATGTATTTTCTTCCTACTCGTATTGGGAGTCAGGCAGAGCAATTTCCCTGGGCTAGCAATTGAGGTTAAGGGACTAGTACAAGGTTTCTTATTGAACCAGCTGCAAAGCCACACTTGCCATGTGGATGCTTTCTCCTGGGTTAGAGTCCAACACAGCCAGGTGAACACCAGGGTTCAAATCCCAGCATTGCAATTTACCATATGAACTATAGATCTCGGAGTCTTCTCTTAGCTTAGGGCTTGGGCAGGCATCCCACAACATCCCAAAATCTCAGCTGACTGGAAGACTCATCAGTACTAAGTATCTGGCCGAGGGAGTGATGATCAGGCTTCATCTCTGAAGAGCCTCTTCAAAGTCCAAGCTATTTCCATGGGGGTTATCTCATGTGACCTCAGCCAACTTAACTCTTACAGCCTGCTAGGTGCTTTAAGTTCATCATCCCATCAGATCCCTACAACTGCCTTGTGGGAGTGGGGTCTTATCTCCTGATTTTACTGGTAAGGACACAGCACCCTACAGATGTGAAGTGCCTCCGCTCTGGTCACACACCTAATCAAGGCCAGAGCTGGCATCTGGATTCAAGTCTCCTGACCCACATCCAGGGTTCATGTTCCTCTCTCCTAGCCACTTACTTTGTCTCCACTGCCCCCTGCAGCCAGCCACTCCTACACCCAGCTCTTCTCAGCCTCTTACAGTGGAGGTCCCCCCGCCCACCTCGTCTGCTGAATCCACTTTCTCCAAGGTCACCATGACCTGTTATCCCTTCTCATCCTGTTCTCTTTCTGTAGCACTTGTTGTTCTGATTGCATTGTTCTTTAGAATTTCCTAACACCATCCAATCTGGATTTTCCTCCAGTTCTCTAGTCAGTCTTTCTCTCAGCGCTGACTCCTCTTCCTTCTCCCACCCACCAAATTCGGGATTTACCCATGACTCACTCTTCCTGGGCCATTTTACCATTGCCTACGGCCTCCACCCTTGTCTCTGCCCAGATGACCCTGCACTCTCATCTATGTGCTGGGTCACAAAGTCAAGTTCCAACCACCTGCTGGATGTTGCCACAGGGCCTTCCCTCTGGCATCTCGCACTCAGTTCTGTAAGAGCTTGGAGTCTGATGCATGGCTGTCTGGGTTTGGGTCTCTGTCACTTACTAGCTGTGAGACCCTGAGCAAATTACCAAACCTCTGGGCCTGTTTTCTCACCTACAAGATACTAACAGCATCTCTCTCGTAAGGTTGCTGTGAGAATTAAAGTGAATTAATACTTAACACTTAGAATGGTACCTGACACGCTACATGACCCTTTTCTTATTACCCCCACCGTATCAGATTTGTTATATATTTTTCACAGTCTGATTGGATCTCCATACTTCTATGAGGAAAATTCATTTTTATCTCCACTTTACAGCTGGGGAAACTGGGCCTACAAAGTTTAAGTAACTTGTTTAAGATCACACAGGTAATATAAGGTCGGACTGGGCTTGAACTCGGGGATCAACCTAGCACCAAAGCCAGTGCTCTTGTCCACTCTACTTTACTCCTCTTAGCTCCTCAAGCTCAAAGCCACAGTCATCCTGGCCTCTTTCTTGCCTTCCCTCACTAAAGCTGTCCACCTGCTTTACCAGCCAGGGACCAGGTTCCGACCATCTGACCTGCTCACTCTCTGCCAGCCCTTCCTTCCTACGTCTACTGCCATGGTTCAAGGTCAACCCCTCTTTATAACCTGCCCTTCTAAGGGATCTCTCTATCTCCAGGATTCTTCATTTCCAATCCATTCTTTAAACGGTGGGGCAAATTATAGTCCTAAAACATAGGAGTGCTCCCCCAAGGCAGAGAACCTGTCTTATTTACGTCTGTGTCCTCCATACTTGGAACAAGACCTGACTCAGAGTTATGTGGCCAATAAACAGTTGCTGAACCACACTGAGGCCCCCTCAACACCTTCCATGGAAAACGGGAAATAAACTAAATGTATAATCATAAGGGAACAGCTATATAACATGTGGGTGGTATGCCCAAATGGAATATTATTTAGGCATTTAAAATACTTATGAACAGTTTATAATAGTATTAAAATATTTATGTAATAATACTAAGAGACAGAAGCAGGATATAAAATTATATGTATATCTATACGAAGGCTACAGCTAAGCAAATACAGAGAATACTTATACATTGAGGAATGATTATGAGAAGACGTTATTAAAGACAACATTTACTGAGTGTTAATTATGGCCCATTCGAAGCACTTTTACAGGAACTGACTTATTTAATTCCCAAAATGACCTGATGAAATAGGTACTATTACTGTCATTCTCATTCTACAAGTACAAAAACAAGACAGAGAAATTAAAGAGCAGAGTCGAGATTCAACAGCTCCACCCATTTCCCCAAAGACCAGCCCCTTCACCACTGTACCACACAGCCATCCCCAGCAAGTGGCAATTAACTGGGATGTTTGTAGACTGCCTTGGCCATTGGAACACTGAGTTATTTTCTTCCCTTTTTTCATTTCACTACTTTCTATAATGAGCATGTATTCCTTTTTATAACATATTATAAAAAATACAATGCTATAATAAAAGCATTCTTCTGACGAGCAAGTAAAATTCGAGTGACTCTGGTCTCCTTAAGTCCTATCTTTGCAGCCTCTTCTCCCACCGTGCCGTCTCCCGCTCCATGCCAGCTCACCTAGAACATACTCTGTACATATTTTCCTGCCTGATCCTGTTCCCGAATGGTTATCTCTAGACCAGGGGTTCTTAACCTGTAGCCTGGGTTCTGTGGGTAGAAGTCAGGGGTCTGTGAACACTTGCAGGGGGAATTGCATCATTCTTTTCTCTAACCCCTAAGTGAAATGTAGCATTTCTTTCCATTTTGAATGTAGGCAATAAACCACAGTATGTTAATAGCACCTGTGACTTTGTTTCCCACAGAAATCACCAAAGTTTTCATATCACACTTCAGGGCTAAGGATATCTTGAAATACCAGTTATATTCATTATTACTTCAAAATTATGGTAGTAGTTAGACTCGATGCTGGGCTTGGCTATTTAATACATTAATGAAGAAGCACATATATTAGTATACCACTACTAAAATATAACTGCATTTCCATATAGCTGGTTTTCACAGTCATCCTATCCATTTTATCGGATTTCTGTTGTTTATTTTCTGTCCTTTTTTATTAATAAAAATGTTTTTATTCATTTAAAAACATTTATCTGAGAAAGGATTCATTAGCATCTCCAGACTACCATGGTCTAGGCCTTCTCTCGCCCTCTGCCTAGCAAACTCCTACTCACACTTCAGCATCCAGCTCAGATCTTGCTCCTGGGCCAGAAGGCCTCTCTCCCTCCCTGTATTGACAGCACACTGTGGCTCTGAGTCAGCTGCGTTTAGGAGACAGTGCAGCTTCCTTACTCTCTGAATTCCTGGCCAGCTTCTGTCCCAAGCACCCTGGTGACGCTGG